GTATATGCCTAAGATGATTTAAAGGGACAAGAGCATCTGCACCAAAAAGAGGTGACACAATTTCAGACCTGCTGTGCTTGCAGAATAAAGTCTATCTTCTCTCTTTATAAAGAGTAATAATTTTTTTATTTCAGGAAAGAAATAAGATGCATACAGCCATGTCAAATCTTTAGAGGGCTGAGTGTCTTCAATATTTAATTTTGCCTGTATTGAAATCATAGAAAATCAAAAATAATTATGATTTACATAAGACTATCGGGTCATACAGGTTCATACTTGAGTGTGGGATGAATGAAATTATATTTTTGATAGTAAAGGAGTTACGAGTAACAGATGACAGTGTCTGAAAACCAGGGTTATTGATGACATCATGCAGAAGCAATGAAATGATAAAATGATATTGTTCAAGTTTCATTGCATAGGGCCCTAAAGATATTATTTGGCTATTAACAGCCAAAAAAATGAGAAAAAATTATTCATTACTACATGAGCCAAAGTGACATACAACATTATTCTTATTCACAATGTTAGGAAGATAATTATCTATTCATCTTGAACATTTCAAGTCTTCACTTCTAATAGCTCGGATTTTAGCAGTCTCTCCAGCCTTCCCCCCTTAGTGATTTGATGTTTTAAAACATTTAGGGAGTACTAAAACCCAAAGGAGACATTTTTGGAGATTAGTTCTAGCAAAAGGACTAATAATATGTATTTCAAGGTTATTATATACTTTTTTCCTTAACAATCAAGAGAACATTTTCTTTTGCAGTGATTGTACAATTACTTACTTTCAATTACTCTATAACTTCTACAAATACAACCACCATGATTTTAAAATGAATAACAGATATGGAAATTTCACAGTAATAATAATGTTTTAAAATGGCTTACACTTCATGTTTGTATGTTGTCCAGGCCCATTGACAAATATCTGATTCAGGATATGTGACTGGCTGGAACCCGAAGGCATCCACGTAGAAGATGGATGTGTCTTGTCTTTTAAGATCTTTGGAAGCTTTTCTTGGGGCAGGCTTTCTGGATTTACATTCTGCGTTGTTGGTCGAGGCTGGGTGAAGAAAATTTGTTATCACTTAAGGATGCAAAAGTGAAATGTTCTATTAACCTTTACAGCTTCTTTTCTTAAAATGACAATCGACTAGGACACACTCACAATAACAGTATACTTACAGGATTTGAATGTGGACTTTCCTTTGCAAGAAGAGATGCCAACATTTTGTTCTTCTCCCAGAGTTTTGACTGCCCTTGATTATTAGGACTTGATCCTGATGCTACATGCCCTATATTCCCACCAGTATTATTTCCAAGAGGAGTTGGAGGGCCTCCATGCGGTGTTGGGGGTCCACCAAGAGGAGTTGGAGGGCCATGAGGTGTAGATGGACCCCCATGTGGAGTAGGAGGCCCTCCATGTTGCACTGGTGCAGGACTCATGGAAGTAGCTGGTGGTGAAGGACCTAGCATGGTCTCAAATGCACCAAGAACCTGCTAAAGAGTAAAAAGAGAAAATTACAGACAACAGAATATCTAAAATAGATTTATATACTGTTAACTGATTAAAATTTTATAATAAAATTTTAAAAATATTTTCTGATATATAGGAGACATACTCAGTATTATCAAATTATACTTGAAAAAATATAAACAAATCAAAAGAATCTGCTTACAATAATAGAATGTAAAAACATAAGATGAATCTATCACTAACCCCATCTACTTACATGTTTACTTGGGTTCCCATCATGAGGTTCGTCACTTGGACGTTTCAATCCCCGCATCATGTTTGATGCTGGTAGCATGTCTCTACTTGGGGGTCTTGGTGGCACTCCACTGGAGTTCAGAGGCTGGGGATTACTTGATGAAGTGGAGGATAAAGTATTGGGAGTGGATGACGAAGAAGTTGAATTGACATTCTGCATGGGTCCCCCAGGAGGCCCCTGAGGTGGCCGGAACTCGGATGTAAGGTCTGGCTTCTTGTCCTCTGGTGTGTTTAATAACTCCCAGATGTCATCACTGCTTTTCTTTTCATTATCTTCATCCTCATTGTTCAGCAGCTAAATGTTGATATATTATGAGCCATTCTTAAATTGTAATACTTATAAAATAAATCTCCCAAAAGTTAAGAGAGTGATCATATACTAACTACATCTTTTTTATCTGAGGACTAATGTCCTTAAAATAGCTTAATAAAGTGGATGTATTTATAAAGCATCTGGGAAACCGATCAGATGGTAAAGACAAATAAAATACATTACTACATAAAAGAAAATCAGTGTTACATATTATATCAGTGCTGTAATCCAACAGAAAAATACTTACTTCTCTAAGCATATTATTAGAATTTCCTGCAGGCGACGAGGAGGTGTTTGGCTTAGACTCTAGGTGGGGTATACGATGAATGAAGCGTATTGAATCTCCACTACCAGTCCCACCACCTTGGGTATCATCCTCATCTTTTTGGTTTAGAAGGTCTTTGAGGATTTTA